GTCGGGCTCTGCCCGCCCGCCTCCGTCCTCCCCCTGCCAGGCCTCGGGCAGGCGGCCCAGGGGCAGGGAGGGGATCTCCTCACCCCAAAAAGGCCATTGAATGACTCGAGCGTGGCCACAGAAGGGCAACGGAGCTGGGGCAGGGTCTGGAGCACAGGTCTGCTGGGGAGTGGCTGGGGGAACTGGGGGGGTTCAGTCTGGAGAAGAGGAGGCTGAGGGGAGACCTCCTGGCCCTCTGCAACTCCCTGCCAGGAGGGTGCAGAGAGGGGGGATGAGTCTCTGGAGCCAAGGCCCCAGCGCCAGGCCCCGAGGGAATGGCCTCAAGCTGCCCAGGGCAGGGTCAGGCTGGCTCTGAGGAAGGATTTCTGTGCAGAAGGGGCTGTTGGGTGTTGGAATGGGCTGCCCAGGGCAGGGAGGGAGTCCCCGGGATCCCTGGAGGGGTTGAAGAGTCGGGCTGAGCCAGCGCTGAGGCATCTGGGGGAGTTGGGAACAGTCAGGGGGAGGGTCATGGTTGAGCTGGAGGAGCTTCAAGGGCTTTCCCAACCCAGATGGTTCTGGGGTTCTGTGACTGCAAGGACACGCAGGCCGTGTCCATACCTACCACACATGGGGGGGGCTTAGAAAAAAGCATTTGTGGTGTTAAGGAAAAACACAGCAATAGATCTAAAATACGGTTGAGTGTGCTGCTTCAAGGCTGCTGTTTCTTGGAAAAAACCCTGCTGCCTCCTCCTTACTTGACCCGTGTCCAAATGGCTGTTTAAAGAGATCATTTGCAGGGTGCTGTGCTACTGGCACAGTCTGTGACCTCTGACGTGATTTGGCAAATCGGATGCCTCTAATTACAAAGCCCTTTGAAGCACACCTTCCCGCTGACTTCACGGTCTCCAGCAGAGACAAGCATGCCAGAAAACAGAAACCTGAACAGAAAAATGCGAGTTGACGTAGTTTCCCTTGGAGCTTAAGGAGGTCACTGTCAAATTTATCCCAGATATTCACGAGGTAAGGAATATTATGGTTTGGTTTTTTTCTTCTTTTTAAATTTTAAGAGCTTTATCTCCGCTAACTTTGGATTGATTTTGGCTTAACTTATAAAATCACTTCAAAATGTGATACTGGACCTATAGGTTTACAGAGTAACCATTTCAACTTCCCAACTTCACAAAAGCACTGGTATTTCAGGAAACCAAGGGGTCCAGGCTGTAAAAACAGATTGTTGAAAACTTGGACGTATGTATCTCTATCTAGTGCTGTTATTAGCTGGCATCCTTAATCTGTCAAAGCTGCTGTTAATATTTATCATCCGCTGCAATATCATCTTTACTGTGTTCTGAAGAAAGCCTGATGTCAGCTGTTTCCCTTCTGTATTTGGTAAGGGCCAGCTAAGCAGTCCTAGTGCCCGCTGCACGATGTGCCTTGACTGCAAAATCCTTCGGCTTCTGGCCAGAAAAGCAGCAGGAAACCCCTCAGAGCTCTCACTGTCTACTTGTAGAAGAAGGAGTTAGGTAAGCACGGTAGCACCTACCAAGATTGTTCTGGTTTCCAGAGGTGTGGTGGAATGAAATTTGATGCTGCGAGTGTTTTGGGGATGGCAACGCTGTCATGGGTCACTGAAGGTTGTTCCCTGGTTCCCGTCTGTCCTCAGTCAGACAAAATTAATACAACAGTCTGTGGGAACCCGGTCTCCTGGCATAGGGCAAAGAGCAGATCCATACAGGTGTGTATCCAAACTAGCACAGTGATTTTTCGAGACTGAAAAGAGTAGCTACCCTGTAAAACAAGTATTGCTATTTGCAGGTACCAGCAGGGGCTTCCCCGAAGTGTCAGGGATCTCTGTGCTATTAGGCACAAGTGCTGAGAGACAATTTCTGCCCTTGATAGTGTGTGGTGAAGGCCACCATGGAAATTATAAATGTTTCATGCTGAGCCTTTATGTGAAGAGGAACTACTCTTACATTGACAGAGTTTTGAAAGGGAAGCGGGAAGCAGCTGAAGAGGCAGCACCAGGAATTCGAGATGGCAGGAAAAAGGAGGCAGAAGGCTTGAAGATGAGGATCTACAGGGGAATGAGGTGGGGGAGTGGGCTGCAGTGCAGCACTTGGTACCTTGAGGGGCCTCTGACAGCACTCGGAGGACAGGAGGAAAAAAAAATTCAGGAACAGGAAGAGCAGCAACTTGTACTATGCAACGTTTGTTTTTGACTGCAAGCAGTTC